TAAGGGATCATTGATCTTGTTTATCCTTTCAAAGAACCAGCTTTTTGTTTCATGATTTTTTGTATTATCTTTTTGTCTTCTATGTCCCGGATTTGGGCTTTTATTTTGGTGATCTGGATTCTTCTGCTGCAGTTAGGGTTTTGGAGGTCTTACTTTTCCAGCTTCTTAAGGTGATGTGTTAGACTATTGATTTGTGATCCTTCCATTTTCTTCATGTACATTTTGTAGGGATATGAATTCCCATCTTACTACAGCTTTCATGTCATCCCAGAGATTTTGGTAAGACATCTCTTCATTTTCATTGACTTCCAGGTATCTTTTAATCTCTGTTTTGATTTCATTGTTGACCCAGGAGTTGTTTAGCATCATGTTGTTTAGTGTCCATGTCTTTGTGGGTTTGGGGGGAACCTTGTTGGTGTTGATGTTTATTTTTATTTCACTGTGGTCTGAGAATGTGCATTACAAAATTTCGATCTTTTGAAATTTGTTTATGCTTGATTTATGACCAAGTATGTGGTCAATCTTAGAGTACATTCAATTTGCTTGATAGTGTAGTTCAAGTCTTCTAATAGCTGTTTGAGGAGACATATTAATTAATCGATTATCTGATTAATCTATTATCTGTACATTTCTATATATTTTTCATTGATTGCTTTTTCTCTTTTTATGTGTCTTATTTCCATGCTTATTTATTATCCTGGTAATTGTTAATTGGGTGCCAAGTATTAAGAATTTTATGTTTTGAGGTGCTGCATATTTTGTAGTATTTTATTTTGTTTTATAGATGCTGTTAAGTTACTTGGAAAAAGCTTTATCTTCTTTGGACTGTTTTTAGGCTCTTTTAGGTGAATCCAGAACAACCTTCAGTGCAGGGTTAATTTGGCGCCATTGTTGAGGCAATGTTCTTCTAAAAACATGCCGTACATTTTAGGCAGTCACTTTACTCTGGATGATTGAGATGCAAATTATTCCTGATACTATGTGAGCTTCTGGGTTTATGGTACTTTATTTTTTTTCAAAATTTTCTTTTCCCCTAGACTAGGAAAGCTTTACTGGCATGCACTTATCAATCAGTATTCAGTTAAAGATTTGTTGGGAATCCTCTGCAAATATCTGAGCTTTCTTGCTAGTGCAGCTCTCTTCTCTCCCATTCTCTGACTTGCAAAATCCAGCCACTTTGAACTCTCCAAACTGTGAGTTCTGTCTTCCAGCCCAGATACACAGACTGTGTTTGCCCTCCCACAGCTGCTGCCTGAGAACTCTCTTCAGTCAGTAAGCTGTGATAGTTCTCAGAGGCCACTGTTATATGATGCTACCTGCTGAGCAATGTTTGAAGTGTTGTTTTATATATTTAGCCAGGACTTTTGTTCTTCAAAGTTGGAGAGTAAACAAGGTCCCTGTTACTCCATTATTATCAACATGAAACTATTATCCATTCTTTATTATTTCCATTAATTCTTTCATGTTGACCCCTGTATTTCTGTACCTAAAAAAAGAGGTGTTTGGAGAAGAAAAGATGAGCTTAAATGAGTTTATCAGAATCTCAGGAGTGTTTTTCAGACACTGACATTTATTGGAAATGGGCTGTGAGAAACAATTGGAGTATATTCTAACAAGTTCTTTGGGAAGGGATATTGAGAATATTGCCTTATTTATCATGCTTTATTGCTGTTTTAAATTGAGCATTTAAGGTGAACATGATCTTTACACACTGATTTCCTCTAAATAACTTCAAGATGTATTTATCTACTTCAAAGGATGAATCAAAGTTTTTTTCCCCATTAATATTCTCAGAGTAGTACAGTCATTTGTTCTCTTCTCCTACTAAAATAGACCACCCCCTTAAAATGTTATAAGTTCATTAATAGAATTCGTATTACCCACTATTAATGTCAACCATATTATGAATTCCTCATGACGAGTGGCAACTAATTTGCTACACATTGAACATTTAACACAATATTTTATATGAAGTAGGGAGATATCCCTCTTTATTAGAAAGAACACTGGACCTTAATTAATCTGCTGCTTTTATTACTATGTGAGCATAGAGTGAATTGAGAGTGGAGATATCATATGTATAATTTAATTTTCTGATCATTGAATGAGAATGGAGAAATAATATGCACATTATAGGATAATGATGCATATTCCATCAAGAAAATTATACAGGGAAAGTGTTTTATGGACTATAAGCTGCTGAAACCTCTACAGTGTTATTATTATTATAAAATAATAATTATCATTGAAAATATTGAAAAATATATTGTCTCACTGTGGCAAAAGCTCTATCTATACATTAAAATATAGACAAAAATACTGAAATATTGTCATTTTATAGTATTCAAGATTTGATGACTAAATGCATGAAAAATATAAAAGTAAAAGATACTACATATGCATTCGCTATTATTTTATAAACCCTAATTTTGTGACCCTCTGCTATTTTTTTTTTTTTTTTTGAGTTAGAGTCTCTCTCTTGTCGCCCAGGCTAGAGTACAGTAGCACGCTCACAGCCACCACAGCCTTGGCCTGCTGGGCTCGGGCGATCCTTCTGCCTCAGCCTTCCAAGTAGGTGGAACTACAGACGCATGACACCATGCAGGCTAGTTTTTATAATTTATTGTAGAGTCAAGGTCTCACCAAGTTGCCCAGGCTGGTCTTGATCCCCCAGGTTCAGGCAATCCTCTCGCCTCAGCCTCCCAAAGTGCTGGGATTACAGGCTTAGCCATCCCCTTCACTATTCTTAACAAATGCTTGCATATTTCACTGTACATTTAGAGATGTTATAAGAATTTGTAAAAATGCCATTGAGTCATAGAAGGACAAGGATTGTATTACTATATGTGTAAATGTTTGCAGAAGCATAATTCACTGGGAAGACTCAGTATGTTGGAGAAATGTTCTGTTTTATGCTGGAAAAGACTTTAAAACAATCTTTGTGGAAATGTCTATTTTAAATTTAAACTTATATGGACAAATAAATCTCTCCACCCCAAGTGACAGACTTCTAAAGTTTTTACATTAGTAGAAATGTATACATAATTAATTCTCAAAATTAATTCAGTCATTCATCCCACAATTATAAGAAAAATGTGGCAGGGTAGGCAAAGAAGGAGAAGAAAGAGAAGAAAAAAGAAAAGGAAATGAGATGAATAAAATGGATGTGAAAAGAATACATAATAAATTTTACAAATACTAGGGAGAATTATAGAAATATTTCAGATTTCAATACATTTGAAATATTTCTTACTGTAGGTTACAGTAAAAAAATATTTGAAAGTCTTTGTTAGAGGATTATGGCTAAACTCCACGAGGACCAGGTGCACACCCAACGTCGTTGGGGGGGTCAGTCTGCGGCTAAGGACGTTTTTGCTCCCCCCACAAGGTGGGGGCGGATTCCCAGCTGGTAGCAACAGGGGCGCGGGGTCAAAGGGCTCAGGGCGCCCTTCAGCAGGCCTCCAGCAGCAATCCCAGCCACCTCAGGGTGGGTGCTGGGATCCAGCTCCAGGTTCGCACCCCCACCTGTGGCTCCCCATCCTCCTGCGCCCAAGTCGGGCGCTGTCCTCACTTAAAGAGACCTCCCCAGACTGGGGAGGAATGAGCATTCCTTGGGGGCTCCTCCATTTCCAAAGGTGTAAGGAAGTGTTCCCGTCTCCTCCAAATTCCCTTCAAGTTAAGCACCAGCAGCTGCCAGTTCTTCTCTACTCTTGGCATTCAAGTCCAGGCAGGCCAGTGACCCCTTGACTTGTCTCTGAGCTGATCCTCTGCCACTGCCGAGGTCCCCAGGGGGTTGGAGCACAGGGCACTGGGCAGCGCGTCTCGCTGAGCACTGCAGAACTCTCAGCACAGGGCAGCTCAGTCCCAACCTCTGCACTAAGCGACTTGACCAAAGTCCAGCGTGGCTTTTAGCAGCACAAGGCCCTGACGCCTAGCATGACCCTAGGCCCCCTTAAAGTGCCTTCTTGAAAAAGCATAATGCGTCCAGGAAGCTTTATTATTTGAAACACTTGATGCCAGGTCCCGCCCCTCCCTTTCTCTCTCTCTCTCTCTCTCTCTCTCTCTCTCTCTCTCTCTCATGTCTTATGTCTTTCAACTAAGCAGCAGTTTCTTTCTTTGAAATGTAATCATCAAGAACAGTAAGGCCTGCCTCCCAGTCTCTATGGGAGGACAGAACCCTGATTTAGATACCTGCCTCCCTCCTCCCTCCAAACACCCAGATCACCTCTGGATAAATTGAGCTCAGCTCTTTCCCTGTCAGCAGTTACTGAATAAAACCTGTTTTTCACGGCCCTAACAAAAAATATTAAATAGGACTACAAACACCAGAATTAGAGCAAAATAAGATCTATTTCAGTTCAGAAGGAACTTGGAAAATATTGATATTATTTGTGTAATGATTTATTCTCATTAATTAATTAAATCATATTCAGAATGATTTCTCTAATTAGTTATGTTTTCACATAAATATCTCATCCTATCCTTTTGTTGGCAGTACTTATATGCAATTTAAATTAATTAGGTATTTTTATAATATTTATTTGAGAATTCTTTAGAGAAATTTTCCATGAAATTATTTTAAATGTGTCCCAGGAAACTAGTGAATAAATATGTTTCATAAATATGTGTTCAGTCACCAATATTTAAAGTGTGTGTAGAATTAAAATTGGCAAAGACTACTTACTTTTTTACACCAATCAAAGCACAAATTGAATTTATCTGCCTTTTTTTCTTTTTGCCCGACTAGTGTCAAGATTTCAACATAGCACAAAGGTTATTCTTGTTTCTAAAGCCAAAATAATTTTCAATTACAATTTTTATGTTTATGCATTAAGTTTCTGGACTACGAAAAATATACTTTTAATTGGAATATTGTCTTTTGTCCATCGATAACAGTAGCCATGAAATAATTGATGCCTATACATCCAAAAGTTGATTTTAACTTCCTTAGTTAAAAAGTCAGATTTGTGAAGATTTACCGCTTTTTTTTTTTCCTTTAGGAATGGCAAGCTCATTGAAGAAAATGAAAAATACACCCTGAAAGGAAGCAACACAGAACTCACTGTCAGAAACATCATCAATAGTGACGGGGGTTCTTATGTCTGCAGGGCCACAAATAAGGCAGGAGAAGATGAAAAGCAGACATTCCTCCAAGTCTTTGGTAAATATTACAGCACAATGGTCAAAACTGTGATGTGTAGAGTAAGATCAGAGCCCAGGTCTGCTTTGTCATTCATTCAACTGTATAAAGTTTTCATAATTAAACTTTAGTTTCCTCTTCTCTGTGATGTATTTTTAAATTTAAGCTGCCAGATAGAGTTATTTTAAGAATTACATAAAATTGCACACACACATTTTTGTTAGATATTGACTGACACATAACAGAAGCTGGAAAATGTTCATTTAAAATTAATAAGATTAATATCTCTGTAAGTGTTGATCTTTATAAGTCTTTAAATGATACATGTTTGGATCCGTTTTACTTTCAATATACTTCAAAAGAGCACATCTTAAACACTATAATTTATACATATTGACCTGTAACTATAAATACTGTTTTCCTTTTGTTAGAATGAAATAGAATATAAATATCTTCCTTATTTACCAAGAGCTATATGGTCTTCTTTAGGGGACTTATGGAGCATACTAACTAGCACCCTAAAATAATACTGATTTTGCTTCCATTATGTTGGCAAGAAGAAAGACAATTATAGTCGTAGCTCTCTGTAATATAATTTTTCTCTTTAAATAGTGTAGTATTAAAATTATATACACTACTATCAGTTAGTATGTTTTCTCCATCTATAAAAAACAACTCTAAATGGAACAAAGAGCTAAATGTAAGACCTCAAACTATAAGAATCTTAGAAGAAAATGTAGGAGACGCTCTTATGCATACTGGAGTTGGCAACCATTTCTTAATCAAACCCCCAAAGCATATGCTATAAAAGATAAGATAGACAAGTGGGACCTAAGCCAACTGAAAAGCTTTTGCACAGCAAAATAAACCATCAAGAGAGTAAAGAGACAACCCACAGAATGGGAAAAGGAAGGAGGGAGAAATCTGTGAGAGTAAGGACTAATGGTTTCAGGTGGCAAGAGCAGACCACACTTACACTCACCACGGGGTGAGTGAATGTTAACTTTTTTGTGGACACACCCTCTGCGGGTTTGTCCTGCATTTGTTGTGATAGAAACATTTTCTGAATCAGGCAGATTTTCATAAAACATATATTCTACCAGAGTGGGACAGATGATAACCATACACCAAAATGTATTAAAATTTAAAACAAAATTGAATAAGATATTCTAAGAAGAAAGTGCCACTGGAAACATTTGGTAGTACTAGATTAAAAGGACTATTATTTTAGATTTGAAGGTGTTGGAAAGTTATTCAGAAGGGTAACGTTTAAGTGATTTTTGTACAAAAATCTATTTGGATGAGAAGTATACAAAACTAAGGACTGGGAGAAGATTGTTCATGTAGAAGGAAGAGTAAATAAACTTGAAACTATTCGAAATTATAGAGAGCCCCCAATTAACTTGTTACAGCAATATTCCCCACCTAAAATTTTTGTTGTCTTTGAAACCTACAACATTAAATAAATTTTGACTCAGTATAATTAGAATAAATTAATTAATTGCAAATGTGATGTATAAGACAATGCTAAAGGGTGAATGTTCTCTACCTCAATGGGCTCATGTGAAATCGTATATAATTACTTATTTTTTAAAAAATCAGGGTAGCAATGAATGAGAACAGAGTTAAATAATATTTTCAACTAGATTCCCACTAGTAAATGTTTTAGAATTATATATGTCATACTTTTGACCTTGAGAATGCATTTTCTGCAATTGCAAACAATTTATTTATATCCCACAGTTAATTATATTGAAAGAATTTTTTAAAAACTCTGTTACTTATACTGAAATAACAAGATATCCATTTTATATCTAAATCAGCATAAGCAAACTTAAGAAATGCAGATAACACAGTTCAAGTAATATATCTCTATGGTATTACATAAGTTTATGGATGGACATGTTTTAATATTAAATTCAGTTAATAGATATGTTTCTCTTTACATGGATATTTAACTATAAAGAAATAACAGTTACAATATCTAGTTTTAGGTAGACTGAAGTCAAATCAGCTAAAGTAATATATGTAAATAACGTACATATTTATCTCATAAATATTTTCTTTTTAAAAATTTATTTATTTATTATAAAGATGTGGGGTACAATTCAGGTTTATGTATACAAACATTGATCTTGCAGGTATCCTTGTTAATGAGGTATGCCCCCCCTCCCCTAGCAGTTTCCCTCAACTGCCAGTCCCACCCCGCCTCCCCTGACAGTTTTCCACTACTGCCAGTCGCTTTCTTATAGCATTGTAATTGTTCAAGGTCATTTTATGAGTGAGAATATATGGAACTCCGTTTTTTGTTTCTATGATAAATCACTTCGTATGGTAGACCCAAATCCATCCAATTTACTGCAAAGTTCATATATTTGTCCTTCTTTATGGCTGCATAATATTCCATTGTGTATATGTACCACTTTTTTTTATTCAGTTCAGCTTTCATGGGCAACACGGTTGGTTCCGTGTTTTTGCTATTGTGAATAGAGCTGCAACAAACATTTGTGTGCAGGTGTCTTTTTCGTAGAATAATTTGAGTTCTGCTGGGCATATTCCCAATAGGGGAATTGCTGGGTCATATGGAAGGTCAATTTCTAGTTCTTTCAGAAATCTCCAGACTGTTTTCCAGAGAGGTTGTATGAGTGTGCATTCCCACCAGCAGTGTAGAAGCATTCCCTTTTCTCCACATTCCGCCAGTATCTGTCGTTGTTTGTTTTTATTAATGATGGCCATTCTTACAGGGGTTAGGTGGTATCTCAATGTGGTTTTGATTTGCATTTCTCTGATGATGAATGAGGCTGAGCACTTTTTCATGTGTCTGTTGGTTGCCCGTATATCTTCTTTTGAGAAGTGTCTATTCATGTCTTTTGCCCACTTTATAAAGAGACTGTCTGTCTTTTTCCTTTTGGCACGTTTGAGTTCCTTGTAGAGCCTAGATGTTAGGCCTTTGTCAGATATACAGTTGACAAATATTTTTTCCCATTCTGTGGGGTGTCTCCCTGCTCTCTTTATGGTTTCCTTTGCTTTGCAGAAGCTCGTTAATTTGATGAAGTACCACTTGTCTATCTTATTTCTTAAGGTATTGGCCTTTAGGGTTCTGGATAGGTACATATTTATCTCATAAATATTTTCAAAAATTGTTATAATTATTTCTACTACATATTCAACATGCATCACTGTTTTCCTTCTTCAATGACAGTTGTTAAAGTTTAATAGAAAATCATTATATAAACAGATGCCATATAGATATAGACGTGTATATGTATATACATATGAATATTCATGTGTGTATACATATATACATATATGTATGTAAACACACATTTGGCTTTAAAAGAAGATATTTTAATTTTATGGCTTTAAGAAAAGTAAATACAGAATAGGGTGGTTTTTAAACATAAGATTTTGATAAGAATCATAATTTATATGTGAGTTTCTAAGCCATCTGAAATTATTTCATAATGATAACATATGAACGTCATTTTCTAAAGTTTTTCTAATATATTTTGCAACTATTTTGGCACTTCTATACACCAAAAAAATGCCACTGTGATTGCTATGGAGTCAATAATCTCATTCTCTGCTCAAATGGACTTAAGCATCCACCATTACTTTTAAGTCTGAACAGTAATATTTTCCTCCAATATCGATTGAGTAATGTATATATTCTTTACAGTACAGCCTCACATAATACAGCTTAAAAATGAGACTACGTATGAGAATGGTCAAGTGACACTCGTATGTGATGCGGAAGGGGAACCTATTCCAGAAATCACTTGGAAAAGAGCTGTGGATGGCATCACGTTTTCTGAAGGTGATAAGGTAAAAACTCCTCAATATAAAGTGGTTTCTAATATCATTTTAATTTTTGTGGTTTTGAATATTATTAAATCTCACATTAGTCTCCAATTTACCATATAACTTGCAGAAATCAAATAAATGATTTACATTTTAAAAAGGTAACTCTATCACAAAGTCAGCCTAAAAATACTTAGAGGAGAAAAGAGTCATTGTGAAATATTTAAAGTCATGTATGAAATATTTTATTTCATACGTCACAAAATTTTAGGCTATTGTCATTTTTCTTAGAATTCCTTACATTGGCTGTTGGTATACATTTAATCTATAAAATATGTTACTGCAATTTTAACCTCTGTGTCTGCTGTGTAAGTATCTGGCTTTTGAGAATTATTGACAGTGAGAAAAGTACTGGAGACAAATAATATTGCTATTTTAAAAACAGAAATTAAATTTTTCAAACCAATACATTTGACCTTAAACCTTCACAATTTCAGTATATTAAATAAATGCTTGTGCTTTTAAAAAATATTGTAGTGAGTGACAAATGCTGGAGGGAATTTGCAAAGATAATTTACTTCAAATTAATTTAGTTTCTATTTTACTTAGACCAGGTCAACAATCCAAGGTCAATAGGCCAAATCTGACCTGCAGCTAGTTTTTTGTAGGTAAAGTTTTGGTGGCATTAAAAGGAAAAGATTTCAAGTTCAGTATAGTCTGGCTATCATTTTACTCTTTACTCTTTAGAACTATCTTAGTGCAGGAAAGATGTAGGTTTCTGCTTTCATGTAATTCAGAATCCAAAAAGGGGAAATACAAATTTCAGCATTTTGATGAGCTTTCACCAAAATGCATCCAAACTACTTAGAAATAAATTAAACATTGCTTTATGTCTCCCTAAACTTAATGGATTTTCATTATTGTTATTGTTTTACAAATACTTACATAAAACTCCATATACAGATAAAGGGAAAGATGGTGAAGAAATAACATGATACAATTGGTATTTTCACAAAAAGTTATAAAATTAAGCTATTAGTTTGATTTTCTCTATTTGAGGTTAAAGGAAAGCCTTCCTTAAACTTTTTTCATTGACTTTTACACAACATTGGTTTTTAAAAAATTTGTACACCTCAGTTTACCTTTGATTTATTAGCATTGATTATAAAAAAAATATAGTTTCGTCCATAATATACTTTCTATTCTTCTTCACTCGTTGTGTTATATTTAGCAAAATGCTAATCCCATAAATTGACTAAAAAGGCATTTTTGGGGTTCATTTATTATCTTTTGAAAGAATTTGTTCTCATATATCACCTCTTTTGATTCCATTTTCTACTCATAATAACATTTTTCTTTTTTGGTGGTAGTTGTACTGTTTTGATATATTTGTTTTGTATATTCAAATAGAAAATCAAATTTATAGAATATGGATGATAATCATAATCTTCTGCAAACCACAGAAATGTCATAGTTCACATTGGCATTTTTAACAGAAAATCATAGATGTTACTGTGACACAGTTGCAAAATCTGAAAAGAATTAAATTTCCATAAAATTTTTGAAAAATGCAATCAATATCTAAAAGTGTCAGGGATTGTTTCATATTTAAATGTAACCCGTTTATTAGATGAGATCAATCAAGAGTATTTGTTTTCATGTCCTTAACCTGTATTAATTGCACCCTCACATTTTTAATGCTATGCTTTCTAATTACTGTCTACTGTAACGTTCCTCAAAGTTCTTTTCTCCAAAAGAGCATTTACTCTTCATTTAACAGAGGTTTACTTATGTATAAGCTGAGAATGAGAGGCAAATTATACTCATTTATTTTATCAATAAAATGTTATCAAGTAACTGGATAGTTGTGATACTTTATTTTAGAATCTGTGCCACAGACCATTCTAAACCAAACACAAAAATTTCTTATATAGAAGCTGTGAAAAAATAATCTTCTAGCTTCTCTTTATTTGTGCTATCTCTATTAAAGAAGACACAATAGCAAGGTGACTCTCTGCTCACATGGTCTGTCATTTGGTCCTTCTGGTTCTAAATTGTCCTGTGATGTGACAAGGGACATGAGGGGCTGACACCAGTTTGATCTTGCTTTTGCTATTCATCTAAGTAATAAACTCTTTAAACCAAAAAAAAAAAAAAAAATTGCCGGGCTCGGTGGCTCAGCCTGTAATCCCGCACCTTGGGAGGCTGAGGTGAGTGGATTGCCTGAGCCCGCGGGTTCGAGACCCGCCTGGGCAACTTGGTGCTCATCTCTACAATAAATTAAAAAAAAAAAAAATTAGCCGGGCATGGTAGTGCGCGCCTGTAGTTCCAGCTACTCAGAAGGCTGAGGCGGAAGGATCGCCGGAGCCCAGCAAGTCGAGGCTGTCTGTGTGACAGAGTGAGACTTCAGCTCAAAAAAAAAATGTTTTTCCTTTTTTTATTGGTCACAAGACAGTTATAGAAAACTAAATATGCTTTTCTGAACAACTTTTAGTCAATGGATAAAAAAAAATTAAGACACTTCTTTATTATTGAAATTTTAAAAACATATTTTAAGATCCCAAACTTATTTTTTTGGACTCCAGTAATCTTATTTGGTCCTAATATTTCTAGTTTCTTCAACATCGCATGCACAGGTTGAATGGTTGAGCTGAGCTTTTAAGTGAAGCAAATCTAGTTTTGCATATCAGTTATGTCATTTATGATGCTTAAGCTTTGACAATGTTGTTTGAAGTCTTTTTAATATGAGTTTGATTACCTTTAAATGTTGATAATAAAACTTATTTTCCTTATTGTTATAAGGAAGATGAGGGTACTTTATAAAATACAAGCGAAAGCGTTTGTCACATTAAACATATTCAATTCAATTTGTTTTTTATCATTTCCTAGTACGTAATTTTTTTTTTTTTTTTTTTGAGTTGGAGTCTCACTCCGTTGTCCAGCCTGGAGTGCAGTGACATGCTCACGGACATTCCAGCGTTGACCTGCTGACGTCCAGCGATACTTCTGCCTCAGCCTTACAAGTAGCCAGAACTACAGGCATGCAATAACACACTGGGCTAATTTTTGATTTGTTGTAGACACGCGGCTCGCCAAGTTACTGGGACTGGTCTTGAGCCTGTGGGCCCAGGCAGTCACCTCGCCTCAGTCTCCCAAAGTGCTGGGATTACAGGCTGAGAGTACATAATGTTTTAAGCACAGTTTATTTTGTTGCTTCCATTCTGGGAAAATTCTGGTTGCTAATAGATTCCATAAAGCCAGCCACCTAAGGTTTGATTGAATACTAATCATCACAGTATATGGAAATCATATCATTCTTGTCATACAAAGTAGTTTAAGACTGTGCTTTTCATAGAAATCGCTTGGAAAGTCTATTATAATGCAGATGCTTGATTCCCACTCCATGAGTTTGAGTTAGCATATCTACCTTGGGATTTAGGAATACACATTTAACAAACTCATCAACTGATGTTATATAAACGATCTTCGGATCATATTTTGGGAAACAACCCTCAACTCTAAGTCAAGATAATTTTTTTTAAGTTGAAATTTGAAACTAATTTTTCAACAGAAAAATGCTCTTAACTTGTTCATTGTCACCTGATGGAGGCCTGCAAAATACAAAACTAAACTGCAGTTTTAAAAGTTCCCATATCCATATATTAGTCAAAATTTTGATGAAATTGCAAATGTGTGGGTCATACACAATAAAATATCATCAGTCTCATATGGTTCAAACTAATAATTTCATCCAACAACAAAACAATATATTTAGCGAATATGTTCATCCTTGTAGATTTTTCAAAGAAGGCAAGAGTCTCAACAGTATCCCATTTTCTTGTCTAAGTACATAATCAATCACCATATAAGACAAAATAAATGATAAATATATAACTTCTGTTTATAGGTAAGTAAATGTTCTTATACTGAACTCAAGAATTAGATAAACATACTCAAAACAGTCCTAAGTAGCATTTGACTGTGCAGTCTCCCTTGTGGGAGCAGACATGCAAAGATTACAATCATGGATGAGAACAGTGGAGAAACTATGGTCTCTGTGGGAAGATCCTTCATAAAAAAAAAAGTGATAAAGAAGTATTTTTAATTTGGTATCCCCATAATCAGATATCTCCTTATTTTGATGGCTAGCAGTCAGTGCTGGTTGTGAGTTGTGAGCTCAGATGGAGCTGTGTTTTGGAATGCCTACATGAAGCCTCTCCAGCATGGCTGTCTCAGAGTAGTCTTCCTTCTGCTATATCCAAAGGTTTTCTCCATTTTCTCCAGAGAGAACATTTAAAGATAATCAGGCCAGACAGATACTGTACTAAGCTTTGAAGTAATGCATTGTCACTTCTGCCACATTATAATGGTCACAAACAAATTATAATGTCAGCCTAAATATAACATAAGAGGACTGAGATTCCCGTTCTTGTTGGGGAAGGATTTATACTCACATTGCACCATTTTATCTCCAAAAATATTTCCATAAGCTACCAGCCTTGTGGAAAAGGAAACTGATGATCAGGGAAATACAGGGATTTTCCCAAGGTCCCCTAGGGATTTGAACTGTGGTCTTTTACTCTTCATTGTGCATCTTCAGGATCCTGTTAGGTATCTGGCTTCCCTTCTCCTATGAATTTAAATGGTATTTCCATTAACTCAATGCAGTTAGAAACATAGAAGAACATTTGTTTTGGTTCAAAAGTTGCTTATAATCTGAATTTGATGGTTAGCAAACACAACAATTATTTAATTTTTCTGTTAATATGCATATAAGTAAAACATAATTGTTATAGTGGGTGCTACTAAAAATATTTGAAAGCTCATGTTTTCAGAAACAATCTCAAGGAAGAACAACAAACCAGTGCATCTCTTGCTTGGCAAAACAGAGAGTAGGGACCCTTGCGCAGATAGACAGAAATTCCTTGAACACTTTGGGATGCACAAAATACATTGTATGCAGCAGAGGTCTCTTTGAATGTACAGAGACCACAGAGTCATGGCGAATGCAGGATTCTGGGGGC